GAATGAAAAAAATCCTATAACTATATGAAGCAGAAGTGGACGTCACAGTGATCATGCCTACCTTTAGTATACTTACAAAGTGTGCAGCTTTTACACGTTCAGATTTTTGTTTTTTAGAAAATGCAATACGTAACGGAGACTGGAAACAGTTTTCTCCCCATATTAGGATTTCTTTTATTTTATTTTTTTACTAAATTCAAAGACTAAGACATTGCAAGAAACTTGGCTATACAGTACCTCTAGCAAAGGTTTATTGATGGTTCAAAAAGTTTATGCTATTATTGCAAAAGAAAAGCTGCATACTTTGACCAATTTACTGCATCAATATTTCACAGCAGTTAAATAATGCAGGTGTTTGTTTTTCCTGTTTGGTTATTTCCAACAGCAAAAGAAAGAAAAAAAAATGGGATAAATTGAAATTCCTGCAAAAACACAGTGTGAATGCTTATTGCTGAAGAATTAGCTGAACAACAGCTGAAATTAGCTAAAAAAAACATGCTGAAATGTAACTGGAATGGATGAACAAGCCTAAAATTAGCAGAAGAAAGCAGAAAGAGCATATTTACTTAATTATGTTTAAATAAGCAGATATAAGCACAAAATTAGGAAATAAGCTAAAAAAAAATCTGAAACAAGTTAACAGTTGAAAATTAGCTGAATAGGCAAAAAGAAGCTTAAACTACCAGAAGGAAGTGGAAAGAGCTGAAATGAGTTTTAAAAAATGTGAAATTAGCCAAAAAAACTAAAATTAGCATAAAACAGCTCGATAGTAGGAGAAATAGCATTAAAAGCTGAAACTAGCAGAAATGAGCTGAAAGGAGCATGTCAAGCTGAAATTACCAGAAAGAATATAAAAGAAGCACACTAATGCTGTAGTTAGCAAAAAAAATTCTGAAAGGATTACAAAACAGCTGAAAAACAGCTGAAACTGGCTGAAAATAAGTTAAGAAGCGGAACCAGAACAAAATGTGAAAGGAGCAGTAAACGGTTGTAAACGGATCTTGAGATTTGAAGCTCAATACATTCTCTATAAGAAAAAAAAAAAATGGCAGAAAAGGCTAAATAATTAAAAAAAAGCTAAAGTTGCACAAACAGCAAAGTCACAGCACCCTTCTCCAGAACGAGCTGAACGTTTTATTGAAACGGCACAAAAATTGTGGAACGAGAAAGAAGCTGAAAAACTTACGGAAGGAAAATGGATCACAACAGTTTGAACGCTTCATAAAGATTCGCACTAGACAATAAAACTGACAATAATAAGTGGCTTACAACAAAACTTCCAGAGGGAATCGGTCTAGTTTTGAAGTCAAGACTTGCGGATATTTGTTTCCTGCTCTTCTACTCTGATAAGTGATGAAAAATATCGACATCAACAACTTCTTTCTCTTAAAACTCGTTGTACGGTTACAGTTTGTTCACAGCGCACCATCTCGTTAAGCCTTGGAGAGGCAGCATACTTATCCCATCTGTAGTTTTTTTTCCCCTCTCTTCCCCTTTTGCCTCGTCTCTCCCTACCTCCCCCACCCCCTGAAAAGGTCTGGAACAGATTAAGAGTTGGACCACAGAATAAAGAGGCCTGGCAGAGATTCAAGTCTGTCTGGAGCTTGAGCGAAACGGGCCTGTGCCTTCACAGGGCCTCGCACGGGGGGGAAAGCCAGCCGGCAACAACCCCTTAGTTAAAGGCGCTCGGCTGCTTTTCTTCCCAAAGCTCAAATTAGCCTCCATTATCAAAGCAGCTGGCTTATAATTGGGAACCTACAAAGCAAAGGAGCCAATTTCTATGGGAAAATGTAAAACACAAACTTAAAATATAACAAATAAAATATGGTTTTCCTTCCGGCATTAAAAGCTTAGAGCCACTTTAAAAAAATATATTTAAAGAGTTAAGTCAAAGTACTAAAAACAAGAAAAGGACTAAAAACCGTGAAAAACAGAGCAAAACATTCATTGGAGTACACGTGAGCCATCAGACTACACTAAAAACAAGTTTATCTTGTGAGAAAATGAACGGTTTGCGGCACACGATGGGTTAAAAGTCTCGCTCGCTCTCAGAGGCCCAGCCGCCTTGTGTGTTCAAGTCTTATAAATCTTCAAAGAGCTTTGCCGATCACAGCCGCCATCTCCCTTCCCAGCTGCCCCACTCCCCTTCCAGCTCTGTTTAGATCTTTCCAGTCCCTCCTCGGTGCACGGCACAACCGTTTAAAAGAAAAACAATGCCCGCAAGTGCCCGTTCCATTCAAATTTAATGCCAAACTCAAAACGAGGGAACAGAAATCGCACATGTTGCTTTTGTAAACTGGGGGCGAGCTCCCCCGGGGAACGCTGCTGCCATGAAAGGATGGCACCGGAAGCACAACAAAAATGAGTCAGAGGGACACACGGAACACACAGGATTAGCTCATTCCTACGGACACAGAGCCGTTTCAGCACATGTAGCCAGTCCTGTCATTAATTCACCCACCCCGGCCGCCGCACACTGAAAGCCAACTGTCAAACTTTAGCTTGGCCCAAGGGATTAATAGCTAACTCAGCTGTTGCGCCAACTCTAAAATGGCTGACAAAAGGTTAGGTGAGAATTTTGAGGGTGGGGTGTTTGGAGAAATCCGCTTTCGACCAACATTTTGCTGTCCGAAACAATGTCCACCATCACAAGGAAATGTTAGCCATGAAGACACGAGTCACAGTTTCTATTAAAACGACCCATCGTGTGTGTGAACCAGAGAGCTGAAGGAAGGAAAGTTTCCCAATAAGTTTTATAAACTTTTTAACAGGCAGTTATTCCCCAAAAAAATGGTTGCACGCCACTTTTAGTTGCCTAATAAACAAATTGAGGTCCTTGTGTAAACATGTGACAAACGCAACCACTGCTTTCTGTGAGAAAGAAAGAAACAGATCAGTGTGATAAAAGTAAACAAACCAATGTTTACATAAAAATATTTTCATGAGTTTAGATTTAGTATCAGATATAGATCTTGTTCAACTAGACATGTTTTGATTTTAAAATGTCATTTTGTCAACAACAACAACAACAACAACAATCTTTCGAGCTTTATATCCTGATTAAGCATTTAAACTTTATACAGCACATTGTGTCAAATTATTGCACAGGAATCTATAGCAATGGCCCCGCAAGCAATGACCTTGTACGCCATTTGACCTTGATCTGACCTTGACCTTTCATGAGTGAATCAGAAGTTCAAAAAAGTTCAAGACAAAAGCAACTGGACTTTATTTGTATCGCAAGATGTTTCGCTTCTCATCCGAGGAGCTTTCTCAATTCAAAGAACAGTGAGTGCGGAGTTCGATTTATACATACATATGCAGATTTCCCCATCACTCCTCACAGTAGGGGTTCGTTAGGGTCTTTGTTAGTCTGACGCACAGATGGGCCACTCTGGTCACATGGATGAAATTCCTGATAGTATCAGTCCTAAAGCTGCATTATAAGTTTTTGACAGTAAAAATCTGAGACCTCCTCCTCTGTTTAAAGACGGTTTCTCTCGTTTTACATAAATAGCTTCCTTCACCCCCTTCTCAAAGCATCACTCAAATGAGTGCCTCTTATCCTCGACCTGCAGGTGAACCGCTGAGTCTTGTCCTGAGGAGCGGACTCTCCTGTGTTGAGCCATGCGTTAGAGTTGTATCGGGGCCCAAAAATATCCGACCCGACCTGGCCCCAGTCCATAGCCATCATTTCCGAACCCCACCTGACCCGACGAATAAACAGTAATTACAGGTACGAGCCTGAAAAAAAACAACATTTTTAATTAAGCTTCAACTGCTTATATAGTTATTAATGGTCGATGGACACGCGGGGCTAAGGGGGCAGAAGATCGGAGCTGAGGGGGTGATTGTCCTTTCATGGTCGTCAAGTAATTTTTTAAAATATTATATTTACTAGTCATTAAATCCCTGCTTCTGCCTGCATTCTGCATTATTCAGACATGGACCGCGCCCTGACATGTCGGATATTTTGTGATCTCACCTGTTTGGGTTGTCGGACACGCATGTCCACTGAGTGCAGCAGCTGAATGAACGTCCATTTGGGCTGATGGATCGCTGCCTGGCAAGTAGTCCCATCTGAAGCTTAACTGAACTTTTTTTTAACTCTTTCAACTTTTAACTTTCGGTCAGCGCGTGGTCAAATGGCCTTGTGCGGCTGATGATTGTATGGCAAGCCATGTTGCCATATAATTGGATCGTCAGCCGTGCACATCCGCTGACACAATCAAAAGCCTGACACCGGCCCGCACATTATTATGGCCCCGCCCTAATCCAGGTCGGGCCGGGCTCCGGGTTAGAAATGACAGCTCTAACATGTGTCTGTGGAGAAGCTGTTGGTTTCTCCAGTATAGAGATCTGGACATTCCTCGCTGCACTGGACTGCATACACCGAAAGCGAAACTTCTTCTGTTGCAAATAAAGTCCAGTTGTTTTAGTTTTGTCTTGAACTTTATTGAATTTACCATGTCCTGGATGACTGAGAACCTTCACCAGCGAAGCAGAAGTTATGGGCGGGACAAGAGAAAGCGTTCATACGAACAAACTGACGGACGAAGACTATACAATAATACGTCCCACATTTGACAGGTGTATTAAAAAAAATCTATCATTTTTGAAATTTCTGTACATCTTCAATTTAAATCATAATGTACTTAAATTTTAAATACAAAGACTTGCATAAACCGTCATTTGAAACCACAGCTCATACTCTTTCACCCCCACACACATCACAAAACGAATGGGAAACCCCGACCTCGGTATGAAAACACAAAAGGTACGGTTAGGGTTACAAAGAGGGAAAGGAGTGAAATGATATTTGGTCTAAAAACCTTTTGGAGAACCCTTGGAAATGACTGCCAACATTACATCTGTGTTAGTTTATGTTGTTGTTGTGTGTTTTTTAAGACCGTGTATTCTTTTTAAAGAAGTGGAAGTATGTGGTAATTTCACTTTAGTTGAGATATAAACAAAAAGATCCAAGCCTTTAACCAACTCACCATAGCGTGGCTCGAGTCGTGGGTCGAGCCAGGATGTGGTTTTGTTCTTGTGGTTGATGTAGTAAATTTCTCCGTCTGGTGTAATTGCTTGTTCCCAACCATCAGGAAGGGGTCCTGAGGGACACCAGACAAAATAATGTTGAAGAAATACAGACAGTCCATGTCCAAAATATACTAATATTGACAAAGGGAATAATTGCAGTAAATTATAGATGTAATAAGGAGAAGGAGTGATTTTAAATGTTTGCATGATGAGACAAATAGATACTAATAGATAACAGATTATCCAAAGAGAAGACCAGGTCCTTTTATGTTGCATCTTTGAGTGAATCACCGTTATCCATTCCTTGCAAGAAACACGACTGATTGTCAGCCTCTGAGGTTATTTGTTTATTATTTACCAACAAGTAGAACGGTATCAACAGGAGACAAGGAGGTAACGTCATCCGTAAAACTAATCTGTGAGTCACAGAGGACGTGTAAGGTTCTGCCTCAGTCTTACCTCACCTGGGGCAAATTCCAACAATATGGTCAGAACTGAAGTTATGCAGATTAGTGACATGTAGGAACTAGACTATGCTTGAATTTCACTGTACGCTGCACGGATGCAAATTTCCATATACAACAAGGCATTATTCTTTAAATAAATGCTTTAAAAACATGTAAAAGACCCAATACACACCGCTGGTTGGGTTCATCAGGTTCTGTGGTGGAACTGGCACAGAGCTGGGAGGAGCAGCCTGGTTCATCTGGAGCAAGGGCTTGCGAGGATCCTGCCAAGTGGTGGTTTTATCGATGTGGCTGGAAAGAGAGGAAAAAGACAATAAATACATAAGTAAAAAATAAAAAAATAGCATTCCTTAAAAGGAACGCATATCGCCCACCAGCTTTTATGTCAGTTTGAACCAAGTATGTTGGGAAACGGTGCAGTTCCAGCTGTTAAGGTCATCAATACATCCATCATCTTTACCCAACTTCTTCCTGTGTGGGTCGCTGGCGCCCATATCCAGCAGTCACTGTGCGAGAGGCGGGGGACACCCTGGACAGGTCGCATCACAGGCTGTTATGGTCGAACCTTAATGACGTGACGTGAGGTCTAACGCTCTTAGTTGCTGGGGATGAGTCTAGCTTAATAACTGTAGAAGTGATAGATTTATGTGCTTGCTAAATTCGATTAGCTGTGGCAGCTAGCTTAAACTGAGATGACTTCAAGAGAACATCAGCTGTAGCCGTACCTTTAATTAGATTCGGAGAGTTTCATTACAATCCATCTGCTGGTTCATGAAATATTTTGCTAACAATCAGAAATTTGAACAGACAGGGAAAGACATCATCACCCAACTTTAGCCTACTGGCAGCAGGGATCATTGAAATCTTTACATCATAGTTTTTCTTCCAACAAAACAAAAAACAACAACCAAGAATGAATACAAATATGCAAACAGATTAAAAAAGGCTATTTTGTGACAAAAACATCCTTTATTTATATAAATGATATTACAGAAAGCTGAAGCTAATGGTATCTGTTGAGATCAGTATAAATCCATAAATCAGTAAAATATTAGTTCATAGGAGTGTTTATTTGTAGCATACTGTAATTTAGTTCAGTAAGTAGTAAATCAGAACTATAAATGTAAAGCAAGGTAAAAACCTTTAAAATTTCTAACAGGCAGAAATGGGCTTCAACAACTATTGTAGCCTCAAACAATGTTGCTTCATCTATTTTCTATCTATCCTAGGACAGGACAGAGGTGGGTGTGTGTGGGGGGGGGCACTGTGTGAACTCTGAAGGCATTGATAATTAGTGCTTTGTTGGCACTTGTTCCTTGATTAAGATGGAAAGCTAATACAGGAAGCCCTCCTCTCCCTGGCGGGACACTCTCCATTGAGGGAGGGTCAGTCCCAGGGCTCGACGCAGGGGGTCCTTTTTCCTGGAAGCGCCGCGGACACTGCAGAGTGTCAGGGGCTTTAACAATCTGGCGCCACATTTACAAAGCTTTCACCTGCATGACAAAGGCGCAGACTGAGCTACGACCTAAAAACCTAACTATTCACTTTTGTTTTGTTTTCCGAGCCATCCTATTTAGGAGACCCCCGCACAAGCCCCTCTCATTTTAAACAAACTCCAGCAGCTTGTTTAGGCAATGCCAAAACTTTTCCTTTTGTATCATATAACGGAACGAATCTCAGACGGGACAAAAACTAAGGAGTTTATTTATAATGCCGTGAAATATTCTCCGGGAGAGATTTTTTTCCTCCGTTCCTCTCCTCAGTCCAGCGTTCATTTGATCCTAAAGTGCCATTAGAAAAGATTTTGGAACAGCTGGACGAAGCGAGAGCTTCAAAACATTTCTCTTGGCCTGTTTGGTAATCCCATCCTGCCTGTCTATCCCAGACCAGAGCGAGCAGGCCTGACTCAGCACTCCTCCCCCTGGCACAATGAAGCCCGTTCTGAAGCCCCCCTCTTGTTTATGCTTTATTGATCAAAGGAGCTGCCAAATCCCTTACCAAACCCTCCCCCTAGCCCCCTCTTGCTCTCACACACACAAACTACGCAAAAAAAAAAAAAAAAAGCCCTTCAACTAACGGTGGCCCATAAGAAAACGAGGTCGCACGAAGCAGACGGGGACTACAACAAAACAGAGCGGAAGAGTAACAAAAATAAAACGGTCCTGCAGACTTCTACAAGCGCCAAGAGTTGCTGTGGTTTGGTTACAGTCAAAGAGCACTGCCCACCCGGCTGCTATTCCACTGAAACTATAACAAATTTTATAAAGGGAGGGAAATAATGGGGAACTGTGGGAGGAGACATGTAGACCAGCACTGGGAGGTTTATGGTAAATGAAAGGCCCGCATGTTTTGGCACGCCAACACCAAACAAAAAGCCAACAAGCTCAAAAACATAGATGGAAAACCTCGTTCCTGATTCGTACAAGGCTGATGGAGCAAACATGCTCTGCCAGACGTTCGCTGAATTTGTTCAGATCCCAACTGTTGTTGCTCAATTTGTAAAAAAGAAAAAAAAGAAAACGGACATAAACAAACCCAAAGTTCAAACTTGAGGCAGTGAAATTCAATCAAGTGTGTGATAAAATCCACACCTTCTGGGAGCTTCCAAGTCAGCGCTGCACTGTGTTCAAAGAGCCTCCGTGGGAGAGCTGAGCTAACAGGTTAATTTGTTACCAGGGGCCTGTAATTCATCACCAGCTTTAAAAACTAAAAGATAATCCATTCAATCAAGGTGCCCTAAAAACCCTATATGAGCAGCTATATACCACTTCCTGTGGGTGAAACGTAAAACAAAACAACGCCATGGCAACTGGCGGGGAGGCTGGAGGCCACCAGTTGCTGTCAGGAATTGCTGATGATTCACGAGCTTCACGGTCACAACTGCTCGCTGTTGCCTTCGCAGGACTCTAGACACCCAGCACTGGACCAACACGGCAGCTTTCTTCCAGATCAAACCCAAAGACAAATAGTGTGAGGATTTAACTGACGCTGATACCAAAGGACATTACTCTTCTTTATTTCATCTTTGTTTAGTAACTGGTAAATAGACTGCACATTTCTATCTTATCAAGACACTCAAAGCACTTTACACTACAATCTGTGCCCTCATTTACCCATTCATACAGCACTCTAGACCTATACAAAGAATAATCAGTGCTTTATCACATTCATACACTGATGGGACGCACATCAGAGGCAATGAGGGGTTCAGTGTCAGTATAAGACTGCTGGTGGAATCGAACCCCCACCATTCCCATTGGAAGACGACTGCTCTAACCACTCAGCCACAGCTGCCCCAAAGTACCAGTAGCTTCCACCATATTGTAATAATCAATAAATAAAAAGTAACTTTCAGTTTAGGATTACGTTCGTGTTTGATGGACCAAAGTGAAATGTTTGCAATTGTATACTTCTGTGAAGAAAATCATTAGTCTCAAGCTCAAAATCAGAGTAAATGACCACAAAACCAAATATCTTGATTCCTTTTAGATTTATAGTCAAACGGACAAAATGCTGCTTTTATTGCCACATTCTTTTCCGTCAGCCACTGAAGCCAAAAGGGCGATAATGTTTTTACTTGCGTCTGCGCGCGTTTGTCTGTAAACTTCGCCCGTTAGCAAAATACCTCACGAACCACTGAACAGATGTTAGTAATACCCTCAGAAAGTAACCACTGGATGAATGCCGTCATGCATGCTCAATAATCCAGCTAGATACATCTATTACCGAGGAAGTCTTTTGGATATAAAGACGAAACGTTTCAACAAAGAAGAATCTGTCCAGAGGACCCGACTCAACCTTGTTAGACATTAGATGCATATTATAACTGATTAACTTTAATTGTCACCACAATTCAAGATGGCCACCAAAGCTAATCAATCTTAGACGACACCTAAAACGGCAATAACTTGTTCAAATTTAGCAATATTGAGCTAAAATTTGATGCGAGTAGTTGACAGACATTCACAACGCATACTTTGAGCCCTAACATTTCTTGCGAGATTTACTTTATTGCATTGGTGCACGTAACGTATTTTATTTACAAGGTTTGACCCAAATGGCTACAACTCTAGTTCCTTCTCATCCCAACTCTGGCATGAAAGGCAGCAGGTGATATGCTTTCCTTCAAAGACTGATTGGCAGTAAATTTAGGTTTTGCGTTTGTGAAGAGGCCCATTTTTTGAGTAAAAGCTAAACCTGACTAAGTATAGTCAGGTCCTCTGAACGGTTTCTTTTTGTTGAAACGTTTCGTCTCAAGTCCAAAACCTTCATCGGTCCGAGGAGCCACAAAAAACCCAGTCCCATAAGTAGAACACTCTCACAGCGGGCCAACCAGTTTGATGATGATGAGATGGTTTCTGGAGTCCGCCCTCTCCCCCGCCGACTCATCTGAGGTATCACTCTATAGAACATTTTCTTTGTTAGATGCCATTTTCTTAAAATGCATGTTATTTCTCTATATTACCATTCAAGTCATCCATCTTTGGCTGAATTCTAAATTGATCTGCAAAGAGTAATGATGGCGTATTACCATCTGTTAACGAGATCCAAGTTTTTATTCAATTCTATTATTTACAACCTACTAAGAAATAAATTATCTCGGTGGTTTAAAGGTCTCTGAGAAAGTTGTGCTCCCAGCACACCAGCAGATCAAAGCTCGACGCGATGCCAAACTGATTTTTTACTCTGCTGACTTTGCTCTTCTTCAAAGCCAGATGTCAAAATCCACATTTTACTGCCCTAAAATAGGGGAGTGAAGCTATGGATGTGCAGCGGTGATGAAACACTCCCACAGCTGAGTTGTCAAAATGTTAAAAATGGGATCCTCAGGCCGCAGGGACTCCACCCAGGGAGTATATGCTTGGAAAGTGGTTGAGGCAGATGAGTATAGAGCGCACAGAGGGAGGCCCGACGCAATCACTCCTCAAAGATGAGGACCACCACCTCCTCTCTGGTTGACTGGGGATGCCTGACTGCCTCTCTATCAGCAGGACATCATCAAGAGATTATTTGGGTGACCTCGATGACCCCTTTGTGGCTTTAGGTTTCTCTTTGAAGGATGGTTTGTTCTGTCAAACTCACTAATGAAGAAACTAATTCAGAAAGATCCGGCAGTGAGTAAAGCTCATCCGTACTGCTCTTAATAGATCAATCCTAGTACGAAAGGTTTGTTTAAATCGACTGCGGATAGATACGTCAGAATTACATTAACGTTTGCTTTGTCCGTTTTGAGTACAGCTTTATACATGATGAGTTATAACCCCCACCTTGGAGGGTCCACTTCTCGGTGG